CCGGCTATACTGGCTGTCACTTGAAGTCAGGGCCAGGTTCAGAGTGCTATTACTGACATTCAAAGCCCTAAACAGCATGGAGCCAGGTTATCTGAAGAATTGCCTCCTTGCATATGTACCTACCCAGCCCCTGAGGTCATCTTTGAGGGTCCTTCTCCAGGAGCCCCTTCCAAAGAAATTGAGGCAGGTGGCTATCAGGAGGAGGGCCTTTTCAGCTGTGGCAGTCCAGTTGTGGAATGAGCTCCCTGAAGTGGTGCACCTGGCCTCTACTTGGTATTCTTTTGTGCCACGTAAAGACTTCTTATTTTCCCAGCATTTTAACAGTTTAACGCAGGGGTCCCCAAACTTTTTCAACAGGGGGCCAGTTGAAAGGCGGAGGTGGCGCCTGCGGGTGCAGGCCAGTGAGGTAGGGGTGCCCGTGGGCGTGTGTGGCAAGGAGGCAGCTTGCTTGCTTGCTTGCTTGGAGATCTCCAAGCGAGCAAGCCGCTGCCTTGCTGCATGTGTGGCGAGGCAGGCAGCGGCGGGCGCAGGGAGTCCAAAACCTCTGAGGTGGGCCGGATAAATGGGCATGACAGGCTGAATCCAGTCCGCAGACCGTAGTTTGAGGACCCATGGTTTAACATTTAACTTTGTTTTTACATATTGCATTTTATTCTGTACTACTGCTATGCTTCTATACTGATTCAATTGCAATTACTATTACAGTTTGGTTGTTTTAAATTAATTTTTGTTTGCATTTCTTTTTAAACTTTTAACTTTAACATTTGTTAACTGCTCAGAGAGCCTTCGAGCATGGCTACCTGGGTCCTATTAGCACATGGAAAATCCTAACATATATTCAACAATGTGTTCCTACTTTTCACAGTTGCTGGATGAAGTAAGATAATGCAATGGGAATATGTGGTCAGAAATGCAGAAACAGAAGTTGTGACCTTTCTATATTGTCAGTTCTTTCTCACATTCATTGTGTACTGTCCACATGTCTCTCCTTGAACTTGCACTTTTGCTGAATACTGCATTTCACCAGCCAGCTTTCTTATGTGGGCAGGCAGAAGATGCCTGTTTGCGGTTGCTGCAGAGAGCACAGCCTTGCTCATGTAATTGCTGCATGGAGTGCACTTGTCTGAGTGTTGGAACCCCACTGGGGCCAAATGTCCAGACACCATACGGCACATACAAAGGTATACAGAGAGAGAATATCGATGTAATAGTGGCCAGTGCATGGCAAGTCACACCTGACACTAATATATTTATAGCTCCGGCTTGAGAGTGCTCAGCTTGCATTATTTTTAAAGGTGAACTGTTGTGGTCCACAGCATTGTTTCCACCAGATGCTTTTGGAACCATTCCAAACTGCGCTCTGACACCGGAATCTATATGAAGGCAGCACTTACATTATTGTTACATCGCATTTATATCTTGTCTTTTTTCCTCTTGTGAGGAAACTTCTTGGGAGCAACCATTTCTCTTCTTCTGAGGGACTTAGAAAGAGTCTTCATAACAAGCTGGCCCTGGCTGTGGAGACGATCCTCTCAGGGAGAAGAGTTTGATTGAGAAGCCTTCTACCTGATTTGGTAATATGTTATGTAAGCAAGCAGGGTAGGATAGCAATGCCGCCAAGGAGCATAAATCCTATGCTCTTGCATTTTTCTTTGTGGCAGCTGCCATTGTCTGAATGCATTCTGAGTGATAAGTCACAAACCACACTCCTAGAATTATGCTAATAATTATATGTTACCCTGGATGGAAAAGCTGTTTGTCTTTGTTATTTTGGCATGCTGTTGCATACAGTAAGGATCACATTTAAAGGTGCCGGCTGTTCTTTCCTGCTAACTTCTTTTTGCAAATAAATCCGGAAAAAGGAGAGACAAAAAACATAAAAAGCAATTGACTGGATCCACAAAATTCTTCATAAGACCAGGAAGAACAATAGTTTGCTCAAACACAGTTCTTCATTCTCCCAGACCAGTTACTGTGAAGGGTATCAAAATGCATTATTGGTCCCACAGTAGCAATCTGTTGGTGTTTTTAATTGCTTAACTTCAAGTTGATCCCAGATATGTTGCTTGTGCCCAACACACTAAATTTGCAGTTTGTTTTCTAGGGCTTGTTGCCAGATGGCCCTTTCCTCCTTAAATGGCTTTACCTTGCTTTAGAAAATGTTCACATCTTAATAAGATGGATTTCTTGCAGGGATAAATCTGTTGTTTGGACAGTCTCTGGTTGTTTGTTTTTACTTATGCTGCTTTTCTGCACCAGTCTTTTTGACTCAAACTACATGTAACATCTTAATAAGGAAAGCATAAAGTGTATGAAGCAAGATAACTTTTGGCTGAATTAGAGCAAGTGCCTTCATGTAATTACACAAGATGCGTAAGCTGACTGGCTTGACTGCTTCAGGACAATTTTGCAGTGAAGATATAATAAAGCGTTTAAGAAGGGTTAGAATGTACAAGAATACGACCCAACACTGGGTTGCATTTTGACCTGCGCTTGGTGGCAACCTACCCTCCAAGGCAGTTAAGATCATTTCAAAGGCATCCTCCTCCAACAAAAATGTGAACCTCACTGAAGTCTTTATAATTCAATGCATCTGCTTTTCCTCCACTGACTAAAGTGTGAAAATGCAAACTGTTAAAAGTATACTTTTTAAAAAGTTGCACATTTTTCAAATGTGGATACAATTTCAGGGAATTTGTGATTATTTTAGAACAGCATGTACTCTTATTTGAGCTTACAAATGGGGTGTTTCCTAGTGTTTTGCAACTGAAATGAAATTTTCGTATATTTCATAGCATGAAGAGTTTAAAATGTATGCCTAAATATTAGTTTAAGGGTTCCCCAGTTCATTCTGGATTGAGTTTACATTATGTATCAAGGTCAGCTCCCTGCTATGTAAACAGTAACAACTTTAAATACGTTAATATCAAGTGCATATATATACATGATGTAGACACTTAAGATGCCACCTTGTGCAAACATACATAGGAGAAAGATTTTTTGAACTTGCGAGACCATTCAATTGATAATTAACATGTGAAACTGTTTCAGGCCAAGGGCAAGGGCATCCCTGCTACAGTAAAAGCTTCTCCTCTGACTTCAGAACTCATGTACATAAGCGCCTAGGAAGGGCCCTGCTGCATCAGTCCAAAGACACCTCTTGTCCAGTATTTTGTTCCCACAATGGCCAAGCAGATGCTCCAGTTAGAAAGCCACAAGCCGGACATGAGTGTGATAGCAGTCACCTTCCCTCAACAAGTTGTGTTCAGAGGCATGCTGCCTCTGGTATCAGAAGAAAATATACCCAATATGGCTAATAACCATTGATAGTTTCATTCTTCATGTAAGGTGTTTCACATTTGCCATTCAAAGTAAGAAATATCCAAATATATGTAGATAATGCATCTACCAAGTTCATGTAAATAACCATAGCATCATGTGTGGCTAACTTTCTTAGATTTGAATCAAGAAGCCACCTTCTTGGGCTCTATGTATGTATAAGAGTGCACAAAAGCTTAATATTTGGCAACAGCAAGTGCATGCAGTGACAGAATCAGTATCTCTTTTAAAGCCATCCATGTTGGCAGCCATAACTACATCTAGCAGGTGGCCACAAAAGACAAACTGAGTGGGTTGGGAGAGTGGCAGCATGAACACAGTTTATGTGAAAATCCAATGGGTACTACTTGTTCTTTTATATAACCATACTATACTAGAATACAGCAATTTTTAATTTCTAATTAGGAACTTGGTTGGATTGCCCTCGTCTTACATATGAAACTGCTGAACAAAGTAATTATCAGAATGAATTGGTTAACAGAAATATCTGCTTTGTGGCTCATGAAAATGAAATAGTAGACCCCCAGAGCTGCAGACACCATAAGAACACAGGCAATTAGCAAACTTGAAATGTTAATCTTAAAGAACTCCCTTTCCCAATTTCTTGTGCCATTTGCTGAGTTCCCTACCATTCCTGGCATATCTAAGTGTAGAGAGGGGATCCAACTCTCACACATTACAGATAGAGTAATGTTCTCCTCTGATATTGAGAAGAAGTTGGAGGGCCTGGTAATAAATCTTATGATGAGAGGCTGAAAGAACTGGGCCTGTTCAGCCTTGAGAAAAGACGGTGAAGTGCCATGATAGCACTCCACAGGTACAAAGAAGGAAAAGTTCTGTTCTCACTCATCCCAGATTGTAGGACACATACCAATGAACATAAACTACAGCACACCAGGTGCAAGCTAGACACAAAGAAGAATTTCCTAATCACCAGAGCAATAGGACAGTGGAACCAGTTCCCAAGAGAGGTTGTGAGCTCTCCCACACTAAAGACAGTCAAGGCAAAACTGTGTGCTCATCTGAGAGGGATGGCATAACTGATTTTCAGCACCAGCAGGGGGTTGGACTCCATGGCCTTCTTGAACCCTTCCAACCTTATCTTTCTGTGATTATATCTAAACCTATGATTTAGATTTGTAGTTTTGAGGTTACCTAGTAAAGATTCACAAACAGGGTGTGAGACCTGGTGTGCCCTGGAAAAAATGAAGGAGTCATTTCAGAACTAAAGGAGCAGGGCAGAAAGAGTTCCTTGATCCTATTAATTAAGAGCTGATGGGCAAAGTGAATGAGCCAATTAAGAGGTGTCTGACGTTCCTGTCCTCTAGGAGTGGAAGTTTTGACTTGGAGTAAACTCTTTCCATGGACAGATTGTTCTCCCATATCTCAAAAAAGAAAACTAGTTTGATGTGTACTGTTTGGTAACCTGTTAAGCTTTAATAAAAAGACTGTGCTTCTGTCATGAATCATTGAACACTACAAGGATGTTCACACTCATACAGTAAAAATCTTTGGCCCAGTACAAAAATCCAGAGCAATCTATACAATTGAATTTCTGGGTTAAAGGACAAAGGGCGTGTCTGCCACAGCCTACAACATTCTGACCCATGTAGGCTTTCTCCCTTCTTTTAGCCATGACATTCTTTTTCCCCCTCTTTTAGATGTTTGACTGGATCAGCCACAACAAAGAGTTGTTCCTGCAGAGTCACACTGAAATTGGGGTGAGCTACCAACATGCTCTTGATTTACAGACCCAGCATAACCACTTTGCTATGAATTCCATGGTGAGTACATAATGATATTCTCTAAAGTTGTGTCTGGGACAGAGATGGGAAAGTCAGAGAAGAGACTCCAGTTCAAAGAGGAGGGAAGTCCCTGGAGGTTTGTTGAGCAAAAGATCAGGTTGAGCATCTGGCAGCAGGACTTTTTTGAAGATATGTTGCTTCATCTGTCTCAGTGATGATATTTGATTATTTTCTTTATTTATAAATACATCTGTGTATAAAAGTAGGAGTGGCACAGTATTAACATTTTGCCAGGTTCCTGGGATGATCTTAATCAGAGTCAGTAAAAGCAGATCTCAGTACTGTAGCAATTTAAACTTTTCCATATGATTTCTGGTTATTCTGACTCTAATAAATGGAGCAAGTGTGGCCAGGGTTTGATCAATTCAGCAATTAAACATCCATGTTCATTTTGAAGATGACATATGAATTGCAGATAATAGAATATTGTGCTTATTAACACATTTGTACTGCTGTCATCTGCATGGTCATGGGCCCTATTCCTGTGTTTTCATAGCAGTGCACAGGCATTTGGTATGATCCTTTCCCATTCCAAGAGTATTTCACTAAGTCATCACCCAGTGAATAGAAAGACACATGCTCGCTTGGCTGCTTATTCACCTGTTTCCATGCAAAGGTGACTCAAAAGCAGTATTGATGCTGTTTCTTTTACCAGTGTTAAACACCTTCCGTAGGTCAAAGGTTCCACAGAAATAATGTTCTCTCGCATTAAATTAGCTTCTGAAGGTGATGCAGCTTAGTACTTGAACCACATAGGCATTGCAAGTCCACCCACCAGTTGATATTGTCTAAAATTTAAAATTGCAGAACCATTTATGCTTATCTGCTTGCATCCTGGAACAACTTACAAAGAATTTTTAAACATGCAGTCACAAAAATAGCACAGCTGAAGGGGGTAAGAGGTCTCCTGGCAAGTGAAATGTTTACCCTAAGTTGTCCCCAGGTCAAAAACTCATTTTGATATTAGAATGACCTGCTCTTAGCATCTGTAAATAAAATATAAAACAATTTACTTAAGTGTTCAGAATCACTAAAAATTGCATATCATGTTTCACAGAAGCTTACATTGATGTTAAAATAATTCTTTTGACTGAATGGATGTTGTGTAGTTTATTTCGGTTTATCTATACTGGCTATGGTGCTTGCTTGTTCAACCATGTTGGGGTCAGTTTTGCCTGGCACTTCCTATGTAAGTATTTTTTTCAGAATGCTTGTCTTCTGAAGTGCCATGTGGCTAATACCAGGAGACATGTTTCAAGTACCTTGCTTTTGATTTGCCATGTGACTGAAGATGAAATACTCCTATTTCCTCTAGCTTATCTTCTCCATGCTTTTCTTCTGAGTAGAAGCACTCAGAGAATCACTATCTTCAGAGAAGAACGAAGGGTAGGATGGACCATTTGATAGGAGATAATTTTTAAATGTATGACTCCTCACAGCCGGAAGATTATTCTGGGATTCATGAAGCATAACGGAAGAGCCTCTGAATGTTTAATATTTGAGTTTCATAGGAGACTGTCGCTAGCTGAGTATTGATTAGTAATGCCTAGGTTTGCACAGCATGTTCACTAGTAATGGCCATGGCTGAGACCCAATCCCTACGGGGTCTTAACAGCTTTCCAATTACCGTTCCTTTTGCTATAACAAAACAGGAAAAGATAAATTGCTAAAGCAAAATGTCATGAAGTGCATTTCTCTAAACATTCTCTGTGTATCTCATTTTCTGAACATTTTTCTAGCATGCTGTTTCACCATGAACTGTACATACTGGGTCCAACTGTTAATTTAATCACTATCACTTTTAAAAATTAACTCGCAGCACATTGCTTAACTAGACATTTTTCATCTCACCTTTCAAATAGCTAATATGATAAAATTTGATAGCCAAGCCAAAAATCATTACAATAGTAAAAACAAAACAAAACCCCCACTGGCAATATTTACTTTTTCCTGCGTGTTTTGTTGAGACATATTGGAACCCAGAACATCTCAGCTTTTCATTTTAATAAGGCAATTATATAGTCTTTGTAGCTGCAGATATATTTGAAAACATGTTAAAAATAAAAAGTGCAGCTATTAAATGTGTGTGATGTGTGGCTATATAAGAAAAAAGAACCAACTTAATTACTTTCTTCAAATCATATGATATGGCTCAAATCAAATCATATAATTTCTTAAGCAAGTTGAAGGGTGTTGTAAGGTGTTTCACATTTGCCATTCAAAGTAAGAAATATCCAAATATATGTAGATAATGCATCTGCCAAGTTTATGTAAATAACCATACCATCAAGTATGGCTAATCTTCTTAGATTTGAATCAACAAGCCACCTTCTTGGGCTCTATGTATGTATAAGAGTGCACAAAAGGTTAATATTTGGCAACAGCAAGTGCATGCAGTGACAGAATCAGTATCTTCAGTAGCTAAATATACAGTTCCGCTGCCCATTATGATATGTCCCTACTGCTGAATATTAACTTACCCAGATATTAAGACATCAGTGCTGCTACTAAAAATGATATGGCAACAGGAGAGATACATAACAAAAAACCTCTGTGGTTGCTGGGTGGAGTCAAACTGAGTGTTTCAACATGAGAAAAATCCTTTTGAGTCAGAGCTCTGTCTACATTGCAGCATGGGCATAGCTCTCATTCACAATCCAGTGGCCCTTGCAACACTGTTTGGAACTTTATGAATGCTTTATGTGATTTATAATGGCTTGAGCAGTTGGGCACATGGATTATAGATCTGTGTCCTCTTTCTCCCTAATATTTCCCACAGCATTAGATCAGTGTTGTGAAGGGATCCCACTGAGTTAAAAGCAAGAGGAATTTCCTTGCCTTTCTCCTCTCCTAATAGCTCATTGGAGTTACACTCAGAATATTCTCATGGGACTGATCTCCTGAGACTACATTCTTCATTTGGATTTTGGTGTTCTGACTTTTCCAGTATTATTTCGAGAGGGTATGAATGGGCATTCTTCCAAGCTGAGACTTTCAGACAGCTGTGCATGAGCAATTTCCTGCAATTTTAAAATTATCATGTTGTTTTCCCCACACCATGCAGTACACAGTAAATCATACTTTTTAAAAATCGTGTATCATGCATCATTACAAGATGAAGAATACTTGGCTCAACAATACTGCAATTGAGAAGGATTTTGGAATTGTTGTAGATCACAGGTTGAATATGAGTCAACAATGTGATGTGGCTGCAAAAAGAGCAAATTCTGTCTTAGGCTGCATTAACAGAAGTATAACTTCCATATGACCAGAAGTACTAGTTCCCCTTTAGTCAGCACTGGTTAGGCCTCATCTCAAGTACTGTGTCCAGTTCTGGGCACCACAGGTTAAGAAAGATGCAGACAAGGGCACCTTGTCTGGCAACAAGACAGGGAAGAAACACCAGCTAAAAGAAGAGGGAAGTCCCTGGAGGTTTCATGAGCAAAAGATCAGGTTGAGCATCTGGCAGCAGGGCTTTTTTGTAGATATGTTGCCTCATCTGCCTCAGTTTCTTTACAAATTGTTTTCTTTATTTATAAATAAATCTGTGTATAAAAGTAGACGTGGCAAAACATAACATTTTGCCAGGTTCCTGGGATGATCTCAATCAGAGTCAGTAAAAGCAGACATCAGTAGTGTAGCAATTTAAACCTTTTCATAGTATTTCTTTTTTCTGTATTCTGATTCTAATCAAAGGAAGAAGTATCTTGTGGCATCTTATCTGGTTTTCCGGGCACATATATACCACTGTATACACTAATGTTTAGTATGCACTAAACATTGCAATAACTTTTAATAGAATGAAATTCTTTTAATAGAATAGGGTTTTTATTATAATTCTGCAGTACTTATATATATATATATATATATATATATATATATATATATATATATTAATAAGTCTTATTAAAAGAGAAATCTGGCTTTAAAATATATTTGGTGATCCCATTAATCTCATTACTTTTTAAAACCAAGCTTCATTGTTCTATTTAAATGGGTACAACTCACACTGATTTATATTTGAATAGCCCAGTGCACACGCTGCTTATTCTAATTGAAGCTATTCATAACTGCATCACTTAAATTGGTTTATGCTTTGTATGTGACCCCTTCGAAGGGTGAGTCATGACTTCAGAGAAACAGCTAAACTGTTTTCCAACATGGCTACATTAGCCCACCCATTGTCAAGGAACTAATTGTCAAAAACAAGGGCAGGTTGCACTCTCTTCTTTGAGCTAAAAGGCATAGGCAACACATTGCAATTACCTACTAATGACATCTTTCTGAAATAAGATCTTACCATTTGTGATTCCCATGTACTCTACTCTACTCTTCACATTATGCCAAGGCAATGTGCACTTCAATTACAGTCTGCACCAGGTCACATGCAATTAGTTTGTTAAAGATGCCAACATGGGAATTGGGCTTTCAAAGGGATTGTATAGGAACAAGTAGTTGCTTATTACTTTTCCCAATTGCCGGGTACTGGTTCAAAATTGCTCCTTCATTTGCTGCAAAGTCAATGCATGAGTCAGTTCCTGCAGAAGAACATGGCCTCATGCTAAGGTATTTCCAGACTTCCAGTCTTCTGCTTCCTCCGTGTCAGAGTGATACTGTATTGGATGCATATTGATTTTTCCTGCCTTTGTGAAAGAAACTGATTTTAGCATGCTCCATAAATTCTACTACACTAGTTTTTAATAAATTCTGCAGATCATCTGGGTATAAATTAAATTCTCACTTATATGTTCTTTTTCTCCCCAGAATGCCTATGTTAATATAAACCGTATAATGTCAGTAGCTTCCAGGCTTTCAGAGGCTGGCCATTATGCATCTCAACAAATTAAACAGATCTCTACCCAGCTAGATCAAGAGTGGAAGAGCTTTGCTGCAGCACTGGATGAGCGCAGCACCATTCTAGCCATGTCTGCTGTGTTTCACCAAAAGGCTGAACAGGTGTGTATTTTTAATGGGTTGAATTATTCACTGGCCTCTAGGTGCTTTTGGGTATTGGTTTGGTTTAGATCATTAGCAACAACATTAATGCGATTGATACATCTTGGCTTTTTCCTTAATGATACACTTCAAATAGGTTGGATATATTTGTTTTTTTATTTATAGCATTTCTGTACTGCTAAGATGAATTCAGCAGCGAGGCATAGTAAGTCAGATCCATTTTCTGGTAAAACCTTTGCAAATCTGCAAAAGACAGTGGAAGAATAAGAGGGATAAATACAGAAAAACAAAAATTTAGCAACAATAGAGACTATGAAATATTAAACAAAAAGAAACAGGACAAGGGTGAATTGTGCTTAGTCTTAGTCTTTCTAAAACCTTGTTTTTTCTTTAAAAAGTGGCGGGGGGGGGAGCCAATGACAAAGTTTAGAATAGATACTCTGAAAACTAAATATGAAAGTAACACTGGAATTGGTTTTAAGTTCAGATGTTTTTTAACGTAAGAACTAAAGAAGGACCTAGCTATTCCTCTAAGATTCCTCTAATCCAGTATCCTTCATCCCTCAATTGTCAATCAGAAGTTTCTGGGCATCCCACTAACAGAACATGTAGGCAATAACTAATTCTTGCTGTTGTTCGCCACTGATGTGAAGCCTCCATTTAGTAATAGACATTGGGTAATAGACATTGAGAAACTTAACCAGAATCTTGCCTAATTCTGTTTTAAAGCCTTATGTCATCTGTACATCTTGTGCTATTATGTTTTGCATTAATGCCCCCCACCCAAAGTGTTCACTGTACAATGAATTTCTGATCTGGTGAAAGGGGACAAAGTGCTTTGCCTGTGCTTGTTTCCCATGGAAACAAATCTCAGTAACATGTATCACTACATAAATACCTCAAAGACTGTCACAAAGAAGAAGGTCAAGATCTCTTCTCACTGATACCAGAGTGTGGGACATGAAATAATCTATTCAGGTTGCAATAACCCAGATTCGGGCTAGATACAGGAAAAGTTTCCTCAATGGAAGAGCAATGCAACAGTGGAACCAGTTGCCTAGAGACATTCCAGGTGAAACTGGGCAGTCATCTGAGTGGGATGGTGTAAATAGGTGTCCTGCAACAGCAGGGGTTTGGACCTAATGGTCTTCATCTCCCTTTCCAACTCTACTATTCTATGAGCAGTGAAATTATAGATTTGAAAAATGGAGGACTCTACATTTTTCCCTTTCTCATTTCTAGTTAATTTAGAAATGGCTCTCAGTGCTGGCCATTGTTATGCCAGGTAATATCAGGGAACAATACACCTGAAAGGAGGTGCCCACTCTCCAGATACCTCAAAAGTTTGGAATCTTTGCTGCCAGAGAGGAAGTGCCCTTGATTTGCATCCACACAACATTTAGAAAGCAAAGGAAAGTTTATTCAGAGGGAAATATAGAGCAGGTACAAGCTTTTATACTTATGTTATATAGGCAGCAAATATTCCTACTGCATCCCAGTTTCCTCTGAAAAATCTTTTCTGATATTTTCTGGCACCCACTTTTGGCCTTCCACTGCTGTTCTTGGATGAATCTTTACAGTGAGGATTCAAGAGCCATGTTGATTCTAGGGCCAACAATAATTACTTGAATGAAGCCACACAGAGGCTGAAATCTTCAGCTACTTAGTCTGAGAGAATTATTATTGAGGTGAAGTTCCTCACCATCTAGTCCTCTACTATCCTATCAGATAAGTGATTAACCTTCAAGTGCACCTGTTACTCTTTTACATAATGTGGAGCCAGGCCACTTCCACATATAAAATGTTCAGTTTAATAGAAATGAGATGCTGTTCGTTAACAGGGAGTATAAATGAGATACTGTTCTTTAACAGAGAGTATAAATGGTGGGGCGGCTGTCTGATCAAGCAGGAAATGCATGTATTTTAAATTGATAATAGTCCTGCTTACTCAGGAATAAGTCCCATTGAAATCAGTAGGATATACTAATAAGTAATTAAGAGTAAGATCAAGCTGCACTTATAAAACTAAATTAAAACAAAATTAAAATGGTGCCACTAAAATCCTCCAATGAAAATCTCATCTTTGGAATTTAGCCTCAACATTCTTTGCTTTTCTGGAAACTACTCAAGATCAATTTCTGATATAGGTCACATAAGAGCAACCTGTACTTTCCAGCTGCTAAATGAAAACCACTCAAAATCATACCACGTAGTGGCATATCCTTAGTGATCATAACAGAACAAAAGGAAGAAAAAACAGGGCAAGCAGCTAATGCTACATGAGAATGACTCCTTTTTAATGACCTTCCCTCCAGCTGAAGTGAGGATCACCACCACTACCACCACCACCACCTGACTGCCGGACATTTATCAAAGTCTAGCAAGACTAAGTAGCATGAGAAGAGGAACAGGAGACTGAATCAAACTTGCTACTTATTTGGTCCAAGTGAGATGTTTAGTGGGAAAGCAGGATGGGAGCAATAAACTCTGAGTGCTGGTGTGTGAAGAAATGATGTGAGAGCTGGCAAGCTGGGCTTGCAGTTCCATCAGCTAAGTCTGAAATATGTATTCTGCTCTGGTTCTTCTATGGTGATATCCTGTTGACTCATCGTCTTGTAATTTAGAAAACCAAACTGCTGTGAAAATTATGATGGGAACCAAACAGTGATTTCCAGAATATCATTCCTGTAGAATGGAGTCCATTTAACATTTAGAGTTAGTTCCCAAGCATGCTTACTCAGAAGTAAGTCCTGCTGAGATAAATGGAACTTATGCCCTGGTTAAGTGTGCTTGTCAGACTTATCATTATGGTTGCTAAGATCCCATTAAATAGTTCTCTTTTCTCTGTTTTAATAAAAGACTAAGCAAATGTAGAATAAACATTAAAAATCCGGAGCATCTCGGCGATAGTATAAAACCAGTAAATAAAAACAACAATTAACAATTAAAATATTTAAATAAAAAGGTCTTGGCCTGGTGTCGAAAAACAAATAAGGACGGCACCAGGTGGACCTCTCTGGGGAGCGCATTCCATAGGTGGGGTGCCACCACAGAGAAGACCCTCCTCCGGGTGCTCACCCTCCTAATATCCTTCACAGAGGGTTCCCAGAGAAGGGCCTCTGCCGCCGATCTCAAGTGGCGGGAGGGCATATATGGACGCATGCGCTCCTTTAGATAACCAGGACCCAAGCCGTTGAGGGCTTTATAGGTGATAACCAACACCTTGAATTGGGCCTGGACTTCAATGGGGAGCCAGTGAAGCTGATGGAGGACTGGGGTTATATGAGAACAATGCCCAGTCCCCGTCAGCAGCCTGGCAGCTCTGTTTTGCACCAATTGAAGTATCTGGACAGTCTTCAAGGGCAGCCCCACGTAGAGCATGTTACAGAAGTCTGATCAGGAAGTTACCAATGCATGTGTCACAGTTGCCAGGCAATCATTCTCCAGGTAGGGGCACAGCTGATGGATCAGCTGAAGCTGAAGGAAAGCGCTCCTCGCCACCGCTGTTACTTGAGCTTCTAATGACAGCTCTGGGTCAAGGAGCACTCCTAAGCTGCAAACCCTTTCCCTAAGAGGGAGTGCGACCCCATTCAGGACAAGGCCCAGGTCTCCCATCCTGAAGCCCAACCCACCTACCAACAGGACCTCCGTCTCGTCTGGATTGAGCTTCAGTTTATTGGCCCTCATCCAGCCCATTACCTCGGCCAGGCACCGGTTCAGTACAACCACTGCCTCACCTGGATTAGTTGAGAATGAGAGGTAGAGCTGGGTATCATCAGCGTACTGATGATTCCACAGCCCACACCTCCTAATGACCTCTCCCAGTGGTTTCATGTAGATGTTGAATAGCAAGGGGGACAAAATGGACCCCTTCAGAACTCCATGGCATAGCTGCCATGGCGCAGAGCCATAGTCCCCCAGCACCACCTTCTGGAATCGGCCATTGAGATAGGAGCGGAACCACTGCAAAGCAGTGCCTCCAACTCCCAATCATACAAGCCTACCCAGAAGGATACCATGGTCGATGGTATCGAAAGCCACTGACAGGTCCAGGAGAACCAACAGGGACGCACTCCCCCTGTCTTTCTCCCTGCACAGGCCAACATACAGAGTGACCAAGGCAGATTCAGTATCATACCCGGGTCTGAAGCCGAACTGAAATGTGTCCAGATAATCAGCTTCATCCAAGAGTGCTTGGAGTTGTCCTGCCACCACCCACTCTAACACCTTGCCCAAGAACAGGATGTTGGCCACCGGTCTATAATTGGAGGCTACCTCTGGATCCAGGGATGCCTTCTTTAGGACTGGCTGGACTACCACCTCCTTTAAAGGGGCAGGTACCCGGCCGTCCCTTAGAGAGGCGTTGACAATCTCCAGGATCCAGGTCCCAATCCCATCCTTGGCTTTCTTGAGTAGCCAAGATGGACAAGGGTTCAGTAAGCAGGTGGTGGGACGTACTTGTCCAAACACCTTGTCCACATCATCAGGCTGCAACAACTGAAATTCATCCATCAATTTTGGACCAGACGGCAACATTGGCACCTCCCCAGAAGAATCTGATTCACTAGTCAAGTCCAGCTTGTGACGAATCTGAGCGATTTTCTCCCTGAAATGCTTGGTGAAGTCATCATAACAGGCCTTCGAGGGTGGCACAAGATCTTTCTTTGGGTCCAGAGGTACTAGCCCCTGTACCACCCAAAAGAGCTCCACCGGACGGCATTGTGAGGAGGCAATGGAAGCGGAGAAGAATTTCTTCTTCGCCGCCCTCTCTGCCACAGCATAGGCCCAATAATGGGCTCTCAATTGTGTTCAGTCAGATTCATCCTGTGATTTCCTCCACCTATGCTCTAGACGTCTCCCAACCCGCTTCATCGCCCGTAGTTCAGGTGTATATCAAGGGGATGAACGGGCTCTGCCAGGTGGGAGAGGACGCTTAGGAGTGATCGTGTCAATAGCCCTGGTCATTTCCCCATTCCATAGTTCAACCAAGGCATCGACAG